TCTGCGGGAAGAAGTTTGTAAGTAGAGGTATCTTCTAACAGCGGCATCATCCTTTGATTGTAATCTGCTTTGCTCAAGATAGCTGTTGAGCCTCCTTTGTCCGCGGGGAAGACAATGCTAGTCTTGTCGGATCTGACGGATTGTTGTGGCTAGCTCGCGTTGAAGTGAACTTTCCCAAAGGCCCATCGATGCGGTTCTCGACTTCTGCGAACAGTCAATCACAATTGCCGCATCGATGCCTTTTGGTACGGCGACGAATAGCAAGCTTATATGCGTTCCCGACGCAATCTATATGTCTGGCCAAAAACCTTCATGGCCGACCAAGCCAATGAACGCTCGCTCTCTCTCTGTCCACTGGTCTGACTGCTGTCAAACCAGCACTTGCGCCCGCCCGGCCTCCTGGCCGGTCGTACGCTCTCCAAGTCAATCTCTTTCCATTTATTCTCCGTTCCTCTGTGTACACAATATACTGTGCCTACTACTCTGGCCTTCCTAAGACTTCTTCTCTACTAAGTAACCATGGTCTGAAGATTGCAGTTGCTCGGGATTAAGTTACTTAACCCCCGCGATAGGACTACCGAAAGTTCATAAACCTGAAATTCCTCTACGACCGATAGTATTTTTGATCGGAGCGCCCAACCACAAAATTTCTAAATGGTTATTCCATCACTTCCGCCAGCTTATAAGAAACTGTGAAACCTCCATCGAGAACACCATATATATATTAGAGAGGGATGACAGCGTTTGAGACTTGTTTGCCTTCATTCAGCCGATCACAACCCTGACCGCCAGCTGGGCCGGAAACACAAACAACGCACACACACATGGTCCACCACTGGAGCCTACCTGATGGGTCATAAGCACTTCACCGAACCGCAGTTCATCAATGCCTCACCCCTGTAATTTACTGTCACAGTAGACCGGGTATATATTCGCTCAGGAATGTGCGAACACCGATCCCGGTAGGCAGTGACAGTAGACGACAGGTGGCGAAGCAATGATGAACTGCGGTTCGATAAAGTGCTCGTGACCCATCCGGTAGACCATCTGCGTGTGCGTTGTTTGTGTTTCCGGCCCAGCTGGTGGTCACGGTTATGCTCGGATGAATGAAAGCAGCTAAGCCCAAAACAGTTCTGCATCAAGCTACCCCCAAACACTGTCATCCCTCTCTGTTATTATGACATGGCCGGCATCGGCCTGGCAGGTGGTCGCCCGTTTCGAGACCCCTGGCCACCACACGAAGTTCTTTTACTTTGGGAAGCCAATTGGATCAGTGTTCGCACATTCCTGAGTGAATATATATAAGAAGGTAAAGCGATCTCGGCAACCATAGTTTTATCGTCCTGACGTTTCAAAAGCGTACAGGCTTCCGTCATCAGGGTGGTAGATGTACCGCGCTTCACAGTATTTATAGGTGTTGACAGTTATAGCAATTAGGGGTTAAACCAATGCAGCGGAAGGGGGGGGGCAGGGGTTAGGAGGGATGCTCAATCATTGTGCCCTGTGAAGCGGATTAACCTCAGCCAAGGGGGTTTCCCGTCAGATGAATAAGTCCCGACAAAGACAAGTTTGACTAGGATAGCCATTTTTGGTTAGCAGTCGAAATCAGCCAACGTCTCCTGCTCCGAAGTCTTTTGTGTTCTTCAATTACCGCAAACAGTATCTGTATTTGTGGTACATCTATATGGCCGATTCGTCTTCAAATTAGATTCTTTTCTGAAAAACCTGTAGCTGCTGTTCCACGCCCCCCGCGCAGGGATAACGTACTTGCCAAAGCCACTGCAAGGACAAGCCCGAATGCTTCTGTTCTACACAGTCACTTCAGATGGAAATGAGGCAGATGGTAAGCTCATATTCTTATCTGTTATGCCTATTGCACATACTGGATGCTTCGTCTTTCTCACTCAAATACTGATAAAATATAGGAACCACCATGCTACCATACTTGGCTGTGCCAACAATTAAACAGATGAGCTGCCGAGTAGGCTCTTTTAAGGTCAAACATAATTAAACCAGACAAAGGTGTTACGAAGGCGGCCCATCGCCCCTATATACGGAAAACTCAAACAAAGACATAAAACCTGTTCAAGGAGTGTAAGGTATTTTAGGTGGACACACTCCCCCCTTGCAAAACCGGATCCCATTAGCTCTTTCAAAACCTAATCAGCTTGTTCGGTCGAAAAAACGCTTTATGAAGTTAATTGCTAGACTTAAACTGCTGCATCGCTCGTGAGAACCCTGAATCTGCCTTACAGCCCGACGAAACCTGCTTGCCTGTATCTACTGACCTGCAAACCGTACAGAGACCGCACGCTCGCAGCACAAGTTGGGTGTCTTTCACAACTACCAGGTGAAGACCAAACGAAACTGGTAAGCTCATGTTCCCTTCTGCCCTGCCTATTGCTTATTACTCTGCAACTGACACAGGTATATTACAGGATATACCAATGTTAGTTTATTCTGGAGCAGATTGCTCTCGTAGTAGACAGGAGGCATTCCCTTAACCTCAACATGAGGTAGATACTGCAGTAAGCCAAAAGTTAGCTTGAAAATGGCCATAGCACCACGCGACATAAAGGCTTGATAAAACTTGAGGTATTACTTAATAGCGGTTCGTTAACGCATGACATGACACAGTAATAGTTGCGAGGGCGGAAACAGAGCAAAGCCCTGTACTTACTCAGAATAGCTAGTACAATTAACATTCAGCTACATTGCTAGTCTGTAGTGGTAGCAGTAGTCGCAGTAATAGTAGAATGGCGATTACTAAAGGACTGTTTCTATCGCAAGCTACCAGACACAGCAAAAAATTATGCTAGATGACATGCCCGATAGAAAGGCTATTGCGCTGGATGAATTTCCCTTAGTCGCCCCCTGGGGAAAAACGGTATCCTGCGACTATGCGTTGTACGTCGCAATTCAGATGCTGTAACATGCCTGCAGTTAGCCAATAGACAGCAAACGGCGCTACGTTGTGACATTAAGTCACGGCAGAAGCTTCAGTTATCATCTAAATATCGTTCCTTTAACCCATAAGCTTATTATTATTTACCCATACTGTATACTGGACGCCGGCTTCCTAAAAGCACAGACAGGCCATATTACACTACACTATTTATTGGTCTTAGGACAAACGATCACTAGAATTATCACTCTCGGTGTAGGCACACTACTTCTGGCAACAGTATCCTAGTCTTCGTAGTCCAAGCTGGGTGGTAACTGCCAGTTTCATGGATAGAGCTGAGTAGGCGGAAACAAAGCGAAGTCCTCTTGTGCTCCGGGTTACAAACATGTACTTACTGGGAATAGCCTAATCCAAGGTTCACACTTATTGTGTGATATTGAGGGGATATGAGCTCAGTGCTGACTTTAATCAGCGTCACTTCTGACTAATAATCCCGCCAGAAATAGTACCAATAATACTACCACTCAGCTAAGCCCCTAGTTCGTAGTATTAGAAATAGCAGTAACAATAGTAGCAGTACCAGCCTTGGTTTCCTTGAGTCTGGCTTGACACCTACTGAAGGTGAATGCGGCAGTACCAGCGCAAAAGACTACTGCCACTTAAGACCAAGTAGGCGGTGTTCTGGCCTGCATTGGTGAATGCGGCGTACGTCCGACTCCTGCTCGGCCATCTTGTGACCGGTTCAAGCGGGAGCCGGTTTAGAATGAGGTAGACAGTTGCGCGACTAGTTCCCTTAATTCTCGTCTCTGACTTCAGTCACCGTCCCTGCTCCTGAGCACACGGTGGACTTCATCGAAATCGATGGTAGAACAATCATATCGTCGATTTGTCTTCAAATTAGATTCCTTTCTGACAAACCTACAATAAAGCATTTTACAACAACTATATCAATCGAATACAAATGGTAGATTGACTGTGCGGGTGGGTCGCCCGATAGAGATCCACGGCAAAACACCAAACCAAGCAACTGGGGCATACAAAAGGTCAGGCAATCCCTATTTTGTTAGGTATTCTAAACACACTAGGCTGTTTATGAAATAAGTGCTGGATTCGCGGTTAATCCAAATTGACTGTCCCTTCCCTCCAAAAATTGTGGGCATGGATCAATCCGGTTGCTGATGAGACCGACATAAAGCCTCCGTCCAGCGCACGACACAATGGATAATCGGGCTACAGGGAGATGGAGGCGAATTGGACAAAGTCAACCCTACATAAACGCAAAATACCAAAGGAAATATTTAGTTCATAGCTCTTGGAGTGGTTTTCCGTCCAAGTAACCTCTTGATGCCTCGTTCCCGTCAAATTTATTTTGATTCTACAATCAACACGAACCAGACATAGTCCGAGCGCTTGTCTAATAACAGACTGCTTGTCCTTCTACGTCGGACACAACAGCACTGTTCATTAAGGTGTAACGAAACCAGTAGTTTCTCTTTAAACTGTATAAGCTACTAGCGTAATCAAATGGAAAGAACTTAAACACACACACACTTTGTAATCTTGAGTTCGTTTAATCAGAATTGGCAGTATACAAGTCGATCTTTTCAATTAACAACAAGTTGTCAGGCTGGCGCGCGCGTTACCTTGGCTGTTGGCGTTGACTGAACGGGAGGGGTAATAAACATTCCGTGGTCCGATAAACAAATACACACACTCACACACTAGAGCAGAAAGAACCAAACTTCTTTTAGGAAGGAAAGAGGAAGGAAATGTGCAGGTGGAATTATGAAATGGCGCCGACCTAAAGTTAATCTGGCGGATCGGCTAGACAGCAGTTTACGTGCAGGTGAGAGAACATACAATGGTGAAAGTTGTCCAAGGTGTAGAAGGAGGGAGGGAGGAAAATCGATAAAAGTCTGAATGAACTGAAAGACACTGGTAGATTTACAAGAGAACGGTAAAAGCGCCAATCCAATCCAATGCGCGATGGGGGCAGGCGCACGCGTCTGCTGCAGCTGCAGCTGCAGCGGAGTACAGAAACGATGAAGGGGCGAACGAGGGTCATCTAGGGGCGGGGAGGAGCGTTGGGTAGGCCTCACTTAAAGCCTAAACTGCAGGAAGAGGAGCCGTAGAAGTGACGCCAGTCAAAGTCTGAGTTCTCCTTGTAGGAGAGGCAAGGGATGGGTGGCTCCTGCAGGTGCCAACGCTTGCCCTCCACCGCTACCAGCATGCCACAGTAGGGAACGCAGACACAGCGACGGTGCAGCTCTTCAACCTCGTTCATACCACCGGAGCCACCACCACTGCGCAGGCGTTTGCGCAGCAGGCTACGGGTACACGTGTCTAGTGAGGCGGCATGCGCGACAATGAGGATACTGGAATCTGCCAAAAATGTGAA